TATAAATGTGTGTGTGTGTGTGTGTGTGTGTCTGTGTCTGTGTGTTTGTGTAGTGTTTTTGGAGTACGTATAGGTGTGTGTTTGTCTGTTTTACTCTGCTTGTTTGTGAATTCATCGAATTTCTACATACAACACCCTATTAACACAAGTACTATGTTACTTAAGCATGAACCACCGGTTTCATATACCCATGTCCACAGGTATGCCTCTATAGTCACGGGGTTCGATCAGTCTGGGATAGACCGAGGTCAGTCAGTAGACGACACCTCCGGCATGGGTCCAGAAACGACTGTTTCACGGGGCGTGTCTGATTTCTACGATGAAGGGCTCGAGGATCAGGGTTTTCTGGTACATACGCGTTACTTTGTTGTAGGTAGATTTGTTAGGAGTATCGCATGCGTTGACCTTATAGTCCCGTGGGTATGCTTCGAGCTGCCCGTGGTGTCGGTACGGCCTGGCTATGCGGTCGTGGGTGTATTCTGTGTATGCTGAGTCGCTGCCACACTTTTTCTTTATTTTAGCCGAAGTTGTCTGTAAACATTCCCTTAGTCGTGGATATAACTCGAATGTGCTTTGTTGCAAATATATTTGACAATGTTATGTTGTAGACATATTTTGGCGTCGCTTCGTCAAAGGTATCATCTGGCTTGCCTTATAGTCAGGCAGAGCTCGACTTTACTCTGCCGTGCGTATATCATATGGTAGGTAGGTATGTATTACAGTATGAGGGTGCTATAAAACTACTATACTAACTGATTCGCATATGGCCACAATTTATTACAGATTCTCCCAGGATCAACTATTGATCTTTCCAGCAATGAGCTGGCAAATACGACACAGTACGAAAGCAACAGTCACGACGGAACCCTGGTATGGACGTACGAATATGTATATACATATACACGCATATATATGGCTTTAGCATGCTTTAAGATAGATCGTTGAATAAATATACACACATGTATACATATACATATACATACTTATGTATATGTATCTATACATTTGCGTATTTATATATT